TCTTGGTGCTTGGGGGGGTCAACAGTGGGAGGGCTTCTAATGTCCTGGCCCCACTGGTGGACCTCCTGATGGCACTGGTATTTCTGGCCACTGTGTGACACAGAGTGTTGGACTGGATGGGCCTTTGGCCTGATCCAACATTGGCGTTTCTTATGTTCTTATGATCTTATTTATTTAAATGTACATTGTCTGGGCGACAATCTGGTATGTGCTTTATGATGATAAATATTATCAGTGTTTTCAATGTTATTTAACTTAATAACCAAACATGCAAGAAGTCCCATCCTTTGAGACTCTCATGCAGAGTTTCCGCCCAAATGACATTTCCTTTTGTTTACTAATGTATTCTTTTCCTGCCTGTAATTTCTGCAACCCTCTCAGATGGCAAAAACTAAAGATCCATCTGCTGTGAGAGCATAAGGTGCGGCAGAGGGCAACTCCATCTCGAGTACTGTGAATACTTGCGATTTTCCCTATGAAAATGGAGACATTTATATTTTTAAATCCCATAAACATTCCAAATAGGACACAAACACACATGAAGCGGTCTTCTACTGAATGAGAGCCTCGATCCATCCGGGTCAGTCTATTCAGACTGGCAGCAGCCCTCCAGGGTCTCAGGCGGAGGTCTTTCCCACCACCTCCTGCCTGGTCCTTTCTAACTGGAGGTGCTGCTGGGGATTGAACCTTGGACCTTCTGCATGCCAAGCAGAGGCTCTACCACTGCGCCACAGCCCCTCTTGACAGCTCTCCAGGGTCTCAGGCGGAGGTCTTTCTCATCACCTCCTGCCTGGTCCTTTCTAACTAGAGATGCCGGTGACTGAACCTGGGACCTCCTGCACGCCAAACAGAGGCTCTGCCACTGAGCCACAGCCCCTCTTTACAGCTCTCCAGGGTCTCAGGCTGAGGGTCTTTCCCATCACCTGCTGCCTGGTCCTTTTTAACTGGAGATGCCGGGGACTGAACCCGGGACCTTCTGCATGCCAAGCAGAGGCTCTGCCACTGAGCCACGGCCACTCTTCACAGCTCTCCAGGGTCTCAGGCAGAGGTCTTTCTCACCACCTCCTGCCTGGTCCTTTCTAACTGGAGATGCCGGTGACTGAACCTGGGACCTCCTGCACGCCAAACAGAGGCTCTGCCACTGAGCCACAGCCCCTCTTTACAGCTCTCCAGGGTCTCAGGCGGAGGTCTTTCCCATCACTTCCTGCCTGGTCCTTTTAACTGGAGATGCTGGGGACTGAACCTGGGACCTTCCACATGCCAAGCAGAGGCTCTTCCACTGGGCCACGGCCCCTCCCAAACACATAAGAACATAAGAGACCCCAATGTTGGATCAGGCCAGTGGCCCCTCCAATCCAACACTCTGTGTCACGCAGTGGCCAGAAATACCAGGTGCCATCAGGTGGTCCAGCAGTGGGGCCAGGACACCAGAAGCCCTCCCACTGTTGACCCCCCCAAGCACCAAGAAGACAGAGCATCACTTGCCCCAGAGTCCCTATCTATACCTTGTGGCTAACATCCACCGATGGACCTCTGCTCCATATGCTTATCTAATTCCCTTTTGAAGCCGTCCATGCTTGTAGCCGCCACCACTTCCTGTGGCAGTGAGTTCCATGTGTTAATCACTCTTTGGGTGAAGAAGGACTTCTTTTTATCCGTTCTAACCCGACCGCTCAGCAATTTCATGGAGTGCCCACGAGTTCTTGTATGGTGAGAACGGGAGAAAAATACCTGAAGCTGCCTTCTACAGAATCGGACCTTTGATCCATCGGGGTCAGCAGTGTCTACTTAGACTGGCAGCCGCTCTCCAGTGTCTCAGGCGGAGGGGTCTTTCCCATCACCTCCTGCCTGGTCCTCTTAACTGGAGATGCTGCCGGGGGTTGAACCTGGGATCTTCTGCATGCCAAGAAGAGGCCCTGCCACGAAGCTTCAGGCCCTTCCCAATTTTATGTGTCATTAAAAATCATGCATTTATGTTTCATTAGTAAACCTACTTTAGGTTTCCTAGGAACGTTTTGTGTCTCTTCCACCTTCTGCAGCACAAGAACTGTGACAGGCCCCCCCCCCCTCTTGGCAAAGTTCCCTGCCACGAGGCTCAGCACAGCCAGAAGAGGCTCCCGGCAGGCACTACGACTCCAGGCCGGGTGGTCTCCAAGAGAGGCTCCCCCTGCTGCTGACCCTCTAAAGGGCCCCGATTTCTCCCCATGCAGCCCCCCCCCCACGCGCACACACGCACACGCGCTTTCTGGGGCCCGCTCACCTGGAACACGTTGCTTTTGTGGCCGCTCTCGAACTCCAGCACGGGCTTCCTCCAGACCCAGTCCCACACCACCACCTTGAGGTCGTCGCTGCCGCTGGCCAGCCACGTCCCGCGCTGGTTAAAGTGCAAGGTGTTGACGCATCCGACGTGGCGCTCCAGGCCGTACTGGAGGCGGAAGCGCTGCACAAAGACCCGGGCCCCACAGGCGTCGTAGATGAAGCGGGGGCTGGCGCCCAGTTCCCTCCCCCGCAGGGCCCGGAGCGCTTGCCAGTGAGGCCGCGACAGGGCCGTCGTCTCCGAAGCCATCCAGTCCTCCAGGGCGCGCTCGTCGTCCGAGGAGTCCCGGTCCCAGTTTGGGCGCTTGCGCTGCGCCCGCCGGTGAGAGTGCTGCACCTCCACCTCCAGGTCCTCCTCCTCTTCCTCCTCCTCCTCCTCCGAGTGAGAGCGATCGTAGGTCCGGCTCTCCTCGGTGATGGAGTAGTGCCCCGTGTCGTCCATGCTGTCCGAGTCCTTCTCCTCTGCGGAGCTCTCCGGGTAGGCCCGGTTGGGCCCCCCCTCGTCGCCCGTGAGGCTCAGGCTGAGGTCGGAGGCTTCCACTTCCACGCCGGAAGAGGCCTCCCGCCCCTCCGTGGCTCCAGACATGTCTTCTGGGCTGCTGGACAAACTCCCTGGGCAGCACAAAACCAAAAAAGGCCCCCGTTACGTTCTGCCCCGTTCCCGGAGAGTTCCCCACCGGCAGCAGGCGACAGCCAGGTCCCTTTCTTCCCCCCAGCTTAGGGACCCACACTCTGCCCCAGGGCAAGAAGAAGAAAATATTGGATTCATACTCTGCCCTTCACTACCCAAAGGAGTCTCAGAGCGGCTTACAAACTTCTTTCCCTTCCCCTTCCCACAACAGACACCCTGTGAGGCGGGTGGGGCTGAGAGAGCTCTTGACAGAAACGGCTCTTTTCCAAGGACAGCTCTTGTCAGAACTAGGGCTTGCCCAAGGTCACATCAGCAGGTGCAAGTGGGGAATCAAACCCGGTTCTCCCAGAATGGAGTCTGCACTCCTAACCATGACACCAAACTGGGCTACACCAAACTGGCCACGATGGGAGTTATGCACACTCGTGTTCTACCCAGGCAGGCAGGCTGACTGGCCGTCAGGACTCACTGCCTTGCAGAAGAGAGGTGCCCGGGTTCAGCTGCCCCCCAAGTCTAGACCCAAGGGTGGGTGTCACTGCCCCCCTTCAACACGCTAGGCTTGTCCCCAACGGGCCCAGGGCCTCTGCAGTGTGGGCCGTGCCATCCGGCTGGGACACCAGCGCCACCACAGTAATGGACGGATTGGGCTTGCCCAACCGCTGCCAAGTCCCCACCGGGCCCCCCGTTTCCCCAAGGATGGTTCAGCCTCCCAGAGCTGTCCAAAGCTACTCAAGGAGGACTTCTCCCCCCCCCACCCACCCCAAGGGTCTCCCTCCCTCCAGCCCCCTTCTTGCCACCCAGGGCTCAGTCTGAGCCGAGCCCCACAGCCGTGCCTCCGGGCAATCTCTTCCGCCCCAGAGCGGTGGACAGGGAGGTCTTTGTTCAGAGCAGTGCCCAGAGGGGCAAGAGCCCCAGGGCGTGCCAGGGCCCCCATGCCCTTCAACCCATTCTGCTATGGCCAGCCATGGCTGCAGAGCCCCCGCTGGACCCAGGGCAGGGCTGCCTCACGCCTGGCAGCACGATACACGGAGCGGGACTCTGGATGCCGGGGCGCCCTCACGCGGAGGTCATGACTTATTCACTTGATTTCCACCCCACCCTCCCCGCCGGAATCTTGGGACGTGCCCCCCCCCCATGCCCCCAAAAAGGAGAGTCCTTCTGCAGAGGGCCAGGGGGTGGGTGGGGGCAAGCGCTCCTCCGACATGGCTGTGCTGCCTCCACGGTCCTTCGGGTTCACGTTGGGGGCCAAGGGGACCAACCCCAGAGGAGACGGGGACTGGGCCCCTGGGTCTGCAGCAAGGCCCAAAGGGGGGTGTGGTGGGCGCCGGAGGCTGCCGTGGTGCCCACAGGCCTCTCCCCGTGGGGGGCTCAGGGCTCCACACCCACCGTTCCGCACAGCTCTCCTGCAGCCCCCCGAACAAGACAGGCCACGCGGGCGCCCCCCTCGTGCAACGGTCGCCTGAAGAGGCCCTCCACTGAGCCCTTCTTCGGGGTGGAGCCCCTGTCTGCCTGTGGCGCCGGCACAGGCACCGGCTGGCGCAGAGATCTGCACCAGGCCAGGCAGTTGCTGCCTTCGACTGTGGAGCCCAAACGGGGCTCTGCCGGTTTTAAGCTGCAGCCTCTCGACTCTGTGCACTACTTCTGACTTGTGTCCTTGCAAGGCTGCCAACTTGGACTTCTGGACTAAAGTGGAGCTGAAGGGAAGCGTTCGGCCTCTGGCCCAGAGATGGCCAGCCAGCGCCCTGGACGCTCCGCCACAGGGCAAAGGGGCGCTTCTCCTGTGCAAGCATCGGAGGGGACTCTGCCGGCAGGATTTGTGCAGGAGATCTTCGCGGTGTGCGATGGCCATTTGCAAACTCCTGCCTCGTTGCCGCCCGGGGGGAGAACACAGCCGGAGCCGCCTGGTGGGGGAGAACACCGCCAGCCTCCCTCGACAACAGCGACGGGCGTCCTTGAAAGGAGAGAGCGGCCCCTCCACGCCTCTTACCGTTGGGCATCTCTGTTTTCCCATCTGTGCTACTCCCTGCATCTGACATCTTGTTCCTTGAGAATTCACCCTGAGGGTTCAACAACACACACAAAAACAAAAGAGAGAGAGAGAAAGAAAGAAGCGTCTGTCACTGCTGCTGGTGCCAATCAATGCAAGGTTTCTGTGATGGCCACGTGGCGCTCTGGCCGTCCTTGGCTCTTCAGAAGAGAAATGTTCTGTACTGCTGCTCATGTCTCTCCTCCCCGCTGAAAACCGGCACAAGGCCCCCAGGAACAACCTTGCTCCAGGTCCCTGCCACGGTTCTGTGATGCAGCCCCCACCACAGCTCAAGTGAGCTCAGCCGCAAGAGCCAGGGCTAGCTAGGGCAGGGGCCCCCCTCCAGCACACAGGAGCATTTCGGAGTTGCACTCCTCCCTCAAGAGGTTAACCACTGCCCCCCCACCCACCCACAGACCTCTTTCTGCCCATGCCTGGTCTGGCGGCCTCTTTGTTGATTCGTGGCTACTAGCCGTGGGGACTGACTGAGGGGAACATCCACACTCAGAGGCACTAAGCTTCTGAATCCCAGAGCCTGGAGGCAACATCAGGGGGAGGCCTCGGCCTCTCTGCCCTGTTGCTGGCCCTCCAGAGGAGCTGGCTGGCCCCTGTGTGAGATGGGAGGCTGGACTAGAGGGACCCTCCCTGGTCTGGCCCAGCAGGGCTCTTCTGGTGTCCTTCTCAGGGGAAGGCCTCGGCCTCTCTGCCCTGTTGTTGGCCCTCCAGAGGAACTGGTTGAGGCCCCTGTGTGAGACGGGAGGCTGGACTAGATGGACCCTCCCTGGTCTGACCCAGCAGGGCTCTTCTGAGGTTCTCCTCAGGGGAAGGCCTTGGCCTCTCTGCCCTGTTGCTGGCCCTCCAGGGGGACTAGCTGGCTACTGCGTGAGGCAGGATGCTGGACTGGATGGACCCTCCCTGGTCTGACCCAGCAGGGCTCTTCTGGTGTTCTCCTCAGGGGAAGGCCTCGGCCTCTCTGCCCTGTTGTTGGCCCTCCAGAGGAACTGCCTGGCCACTGTGTGAGACGGGATGGTGGACCAGATGAACCCTCAGTGGTCTGATCCAGCGGGGCTCTTCTGATGTTCTTATGCGCTCCTCCCTGCGCAGGGAGAAGCGGGGCCTGTCAGAAGGCGAGGGATGGCTTCTGCTTCACCCACTCCGCTCCCTTCTCCAGAGCCCACCATCAGCTGGAGGCCGAGTGGGGCCACAGTACTTGCTCAAGCATCCTCTTCTACACCAAAACAGACTTCCTTCCTCCAAAGGTGCAATGCAGGGTTTTCCTGAGCTAGTCTGCTGGGCCGCTAGCTTCAGATTCAGGATAAACTGGTTTGGGACAGGGGTGGGTGGGATGATGTTCTGAGCCTCTGGTGCCCCTCCAACCGAAAACAAAAGCCCACGCGGAGCACGCAAGGGCGAGCCCACCGTTGAAACGTCCCGTGCCAGAATAACGCTGAGGTGTTTCTACTAGGCCAATGCCAGAGCCCTCAAAATCGTGGCCAAGAGCGTGGGGCACAGCAGGGATCTAGGAACGCCCAGTGAATCCCTCCAGACTGGGGAAAGGGGATGTGTGTCACAAGGGCCCATGAAGCCCCTGTACGGGTAAAGGAGTGCGCCTGGCCACAAGAAATCCTCACGCACACGCACCAACACAGTCCGGACCGGCCAGAAGTACCATGAAAAAGAGGCCTTGGGTGGGCGGGCAGCACCACAAAGTGCAGCGAGGGGGACTGGAAACAAAATGGGCAGAGGTGGTGCTGTAGTGCCCCTGCGCAGGTCTAGGCTACGGCCGCATCCAGAAGGTCACCGGACCTCCACAAGGGCACTGCGGCGCTGGAGAAGGTGCACCGAAGCACCTCCCCGGCAAGGAAAGGCTGAGGAGCCAGAGGGGCCTTCTCAAGCGAGAGGAGGGGAGGGAGGGAGGGAGGGAACAGGCGCCTGATGGAGGGTTACAGAGCCAGGCACCCGGCGGACTCTGGAGCTTGAAATCACACTGGGCCGTTGCCGGGCAGGATATTTCCGACACACGGCGGCATTCACGCAACAAGGAAACAACTCACAGAGTTGGGAGAGAGCAGGACAGTTGAAGATCTGCCACGTGCAGACTTGGCGGGGTGGGAGAGGCGAGAAGGCCCGGGGGGGGGGGGAGCACAGGCAACTTACTGAAAAACCTGTTGCCGTTCCCCCCCCCAAGGCCTCCCCCACTGTTTTTCAAAGGCAAACATCAGAAATTTGGAGGGGTGTGTGTGTGTGTGTGTGAAAAATTTCTTATGAAATATTTTCTTTCTGAATGAGAGAAATGCTTTTAAAAACAAGCTGGGCACGATGTAGACATGGAGATCCAAGAGGCACTTATAGAATCACAGAATGTCAGAGTTGGAACTGGGACCTTGCAGGTCATCTAGTCCAACCCCCTGCACTCTGCAGGAGCACAGCCGAAAGAGAGCCCTACATACCTGCAACTTACCCGAAGAACACATGCAGAACACTTCTGCACCTAGAAGGGTACCTAATCATCCAGAGGGGGGCCAGCAAGGCTCTCTCTGCATTTTGGATATGCCCATTCATAGGGGGGGGGGAAGAGATGGGGGCCAGCAGGCATTTTTGCAGGCGACAAACCTCCTAAGTAGTTCTGAGCAGCTGTTCCCTGGCAGCTCTGCGGAGGCTTCCTTCTCCCAGACGCAGGCAGCTGCCCTCCGACTGGGGCCCGGGGAGGGGCCTCCCTCCCTCCCACCCGCCGTCACCCTGGGAGAGGCCCTTCCAGCAGGGTCCAATTTAGAGACCAGCCCCGGAACGGGCCACAGTTGGGGAGGGGGGGTGCCCATCGCCTGCCAGTATCAGGGGCCCTTCCAGCCCAGAGCCCCCCAGAGACACTGCTGGCCTGTCCGAAGCACTTCCCTTGGTCTCTGCGCACTGCAAAGCTCACCAGATGGCTGCAACACTTAGGCTGCTGAAAAGGCAACCCATGCAAAAATAAAGACCTGTTACACACGGGCAGGCAGCAGGTGCCACCTGCGGAGAGGCTGAGTGCTCCCTCTAAGCTGAGGGAGCGTGAGCTAGCTCACGGTTTTTTAGCCTCCGGCCCACACATTTTTGTCTTAGCTCAGAAAGGGCTCCAGCGCAGCTTAATTTATGCAGCAGCCAAATGGCTCGCTCACAACTTTAATGCCAGGAGCTCACAAAGCAGAATTTTTGCTCACGAGACACACACACACACAGAAGCGAGAATGCTTCCTTCCAGCCGCAATGTGCTCAGAGATCACTTGACGATTGGGGGAAGGGGGTTCACTCTGCATACCCCTTTTGGTAACTTTGCAAGGCGGTCTCAGTCTCCCCCCCCAATAATAATTGCTTAAGTCAACAAAACTCGTGATCACATTCACTCCAATGTCTACCATGCTGTCTTCAGTGGGGTTCACCTCCCTCCCCCAATCTACTTCAGAGGTCTTTAACCAGGCGACATCCCTGCGGAGGAGGCCCAAGCAGCCAGGAGCCACTCCCCTCCGGGTCTCCAGGTTCCAACATAAGAACATAAGAGAGAAGCCAGAGTTGGGTCAGGCCAATGGCCCATCCAGCCCAACACTCTGTCACACAGTGGCCAAAAGTACCAGGTGCCATCCGGAGGTCCAGCAGTGGGGCCAGGACACTAGACGCCCCCCCACTGTTGCCCCCCCCCCAGCACCAAGAAGACAGAGCATCCCTGGCCCCAGAGTTCCTGTCTATACCTCATGGCTAATAGCCACTGATGGACCTCGGCTCCATATGCTTATCCAATCCCCTCTTGAAGCCGCCCAGGCTTGTAGCTGCCGCCACCACCTCCTGTGGCAGTGAGTCCCATGTGTTCATCACTCTTTGGGTGAAGAAGGACTTCCTTTGATCTGTTCCATGACGCATCCCTTCGGAGCAGCTTGCAGGAGCATAAGGCTGTTTTCAAAATCCACACAAACGGCACTGGGAGGGAGGGGGCGAGTTGTCCTGCCACCCCCCTGCCAGCACTGCATCTGGGGGAGGTGGGACGGGATGAGACATAAGATGACACACTCCCCTTGTAAAACGTGGGCCAGGGTGCACCCAACAGTGCGAGGCACCCACTGCCTCCGGCCCCATCATTTTAGAGGTTTATAAAATTATGCATGGGGTGGAGAGAGAGTGCACAGAGAGACAGTTTTCTCCCTCTCCCAAAATACCAAAACACGAGGGCCCACACAATGATGCTGATGGGCAGTAGGTTCAGGACGGACAACAGGAGATACCTTCGCTGCCAGAGGAATAAAGAGCTTTAAAAGGGGATTAGACAAATTCATGGAGGAGAGGGCGATCAGTGACTACTCGTCATGGTGCCTGAGGGGAACCTCCACATTCAGAGGCACTAATCCTCTAAATCCCAGAGCCAGGAGGCAACAACAGGGGAAGGCCTCTGCCCCTCTGCCCTCTTGCTGGACTTCCAGAGGAAATGGCTGGCCCCTGTATGAGACGGGAGGTTGGACTAGAGGGACCCTCCCTGGTCTGACCCAGCAGGGCTCTTCTGGTGTTCTTCTCAGGGGAAGGCCTCGGCCTCTCTGCCCTGTTGCTGGCCCTCCAGAGGGACTGGCTGGCCTCTGTGTGAGACGGGAGGCTGGACTAGAGGGACCCTCCCTGGTCTGGCCCAGCAGGGCTCTTCTGGTGTCCTTCTCAGGGGAAGGCCTCGGCCTCTCTGCCCTGTTGTTGGCCCTTCAGAGGGACTGGTTTGGCCTCTGTGTGAGACGGGAGGCTGGACTAGAGGGACCCTCCCTGGTCTGACCCAGCAGGGCTCTTCTGAGGTTCTTCTCAGGGGAAGGCCTCGGCCTCTCTGCCCTGTTGTTGGCCCTCCGGAGGGACTGGTTTGGCCTCTGTGTGAGACGGGAGGCTGGACTAGAGGGACCCTCCCTGGTCTGGCCCAGCAGGGCTCTTCTGGTGTCCTTCTCAGGGGAAGGCCTCGGCCTCTCTGCCCTGTTGCTGGCCCTCCGGAGGAACTGGCTGGCCCCTGTGTGAGACGGGTGGCTGGACTAGAGGGACCCT